GTTTCCTCACTTTTTGATGCTCCCATTCCTGATTCCTAATTCTTCTTTTTATTTATAAATTTTTTACACTTGTCTTATAACTTTTTTGGTACTAGGTTTCGAGAGTGACTGGGCTCTAGGCCCATCCTTCTCATAGCTTTCTCAGTGCTAAGTATCAAGAATGAATGGGCTCTAGGCTTATCCTTCATATAGTTTTTCTTAGAGCTATCTCTTGACATTTCCTGGTTTTTGCTGATATATTTGTCATAGTATTTCTTCCATCCAGCCAGGGTAGCAGCCTTTACTTTTGCTGGATTAATGGCTAAGGCTTGTTTCACATATTCAGCATTACTGTTTCTACAGTAATGCTCTCTTTTCTGGGACAAAGACTTTACAAGGTTATCAACACAAGATTTTCTCTGGTTTTGTTTCCTTGAAAGGCATATCACACTGTTTCAAGTACAACCTTAGATGTCAATAGGTCACACTTAGTTTGAAAACAATGCAAAGGTAAATTATACAACCTATTGCTCTATTTTCAGTCCAGAGCACTCAAAAAAGACTATGTCAGACTTCGGCAGTGATAATGTTTGTCCTCATGTCTTAGGCACTGACTGCTATGATAGAATTGCTTTGTACAACACAGAACTCTCAAGTCTGATGTATAGAACTGAAAACTTCTCCTTCAAACATTAGATTATAGTTAGAACCTAGATCAAGAGAATCTATGTAGTCCACGTTTTATTTTTTATCTAGCTGATCACATAATGCAAGCACATAAGCAATCATGCACCTGCATATGATTTGAGGGTGTGTTGTTATCTGGCAACTCGCACAGCATGCTCCTAATCATAGAATGCGGCTACTAGTGTATTGTTAGCTAGTTAGTAGTGATGCAAAATTGTTATTGTTATTACTTGTTATTACCAAGGTTATAAGTGAAACTAAGAAAAATGCATTTAGCTAAAGTACAGTAATTCAATCATGTATATTTAGATTTGCATAAGGTGAAGGCAGGAGAGAGTTATGCCATTCCAACAATGTTAATCTGTCAGTCAGATAGACAAATTTATGGTTTTGTGAAATTTTTGTTTTTACTCTACTGACTTTCTCAAGTGCTTTGGTGGCTTGTTATTCTGCAGTTGATTTGTTTACTACTCAATAGTGTGTATAAAGTGTTTATAAAGTTTTGTTTGCATGCTGTATGCAGTGTGTTTGAGATTTCACTTTGTATTGCACATATTGCACACTTGGCCCATTCCTACTATAAGTACTACCATACTTATGATGTTACTCCTCAGGAGATCAGTGGTTGCAGGCTTATAATGTTAAAAATTGGGGTTTGATACATACAGTAAGCATAATGTAGATAACCCATTGCATATAACTTTGTGCTTAAAGAAATCAGATCACAACATAATATGTTTATTTATTTTTTTTATATTTAATCCAATGAGGTTCTTTGATTAATTAAAGGCTGGCATATTACCCAATATTACAAGTATTTATCCCATCCTGAGTTAGCTTAACAACTTCCTCCTCAATGTTTACAGGGTGTCATAATCATATGAAAATGTGTAGTTATCTAGAAAAATTTATGCAAAATTATTCAAAGGTGGTGGTGGAACAAGTTAGAAATAGAGAAATTACATTATTTCTTGACAAGAACCAGTAGTAAGTAGTTGAAGGTTATAGTAAAGGTAGATAGTATCGTACTTAAAGACAAAACCAGTAACAATAATATGCCTGCAAAAAAGTATTATCTTTATTTTGTTCATTGTAATTTAATGAAATTGCATGGATATCTTTTACCTCAACTATACTTTGTTACCAGTATTAGTGTTTTAGTAGCTTGCTTGTGAGACATATCTAAAAATTATTCACTGAATAAGTGTACTATGTATTTCTTTACATGTTTTGTGCCACACATATCCTCCATCTCTCTGCTGTACCCGACATGCTACATTATCAAGATTTTTTTACCAGAAAATTACCATTAACTACAATCTTTACTACTATATTTTGTTAAAACACTATCAGCTCTAAGATGACTTAAGACATTATGGTAAAATCATTTTTCATTACAATTTTCCCAGAAAATGGTGGTAACTTAACATGACTCCAACCTAGTTAAAATGCAAGTACTTTAAAATACACAATATATTATTCAAATTGGTTATAATGAGGTTAGTAAATTTTAATTATCTTAATCTTATCCACTATCAATGTATCTACCTGATTTAGCTCTCCTATTGTTCGCTTCTTTTCCATCTCAGCTTTGGTTTTCTCAAGAATTATCTGTTCTTTTACTGATTTTTCTTGCTCTGTTAGTTCTTGTAATCTATTCTGTAAAGAACAAAGTTAGATAGTACTTAAAAACATAAAATTACTATTCAGCCATTTATAAACATTAATCAATCTTCTCAAGTTCAATTTATGTAATTTTTTTTTGTTACAGCCAAGTTTACTCAACCACACTAATCATTTTCATAAATTTTCTGTACACAGCTAATAAATGTTATTGCTTTTAAAATGCAAAACTTTATTGTTAAGAAATAATTTATCAAATATATTACACGTTACTTAAATGATCCCACACACACACACAGGATTCTTCAGTGATATTCTAAGCAGAGTTGTCTCGAAATCTTCTATGTACTAACTTGGAAACCTGCACAAGAAATAGCATGTTTACTTTATAAGTTATAAAACATCTATGTAAATTATTATGTTGCTTTGAGCCAGTTAGTGGCATAGTGGAAAGTCTGTTTTAATACCTGTGGTGGGCACAGTACAGATAGCCATTATGTGGCTTTGACCTGTGGGAAGAACAGATGGATGGCTGTTAGACTGCTATGGTGGTCATGTGACACAATGTATGAAGTGCAATAACAAATGGCATATAAGAAAGTAACAGAAATGGTCTAACACCTTTACAGTAATAAAGAGTACATAAATTCAATTGTCAATGTTATTGAAGTATATATATATATATATATATATATATATATA